CAGATCCTCATATTTTTCTTATACCATAGGTTCCTAAATAATATTATATATAACACTCACATATAGTTTTCATTTTTGAAATTTGGTAATTTCTCTGATTTCTCATCGGAATCCCTTCTGCAATAGGAGCTAACAGAAATATACCTGAAATTTCTAGAATGATGCAAGAAGATTGGATTCATGCAATCAATCGGGAGGACTGGTCTGACATGCTGACGATCGTGTGTGTTGTAGACATTTTCAATCTATTAGCAGCATTAGCTTGAATTGCAGAAGTGGCAGAAGGCAGAAGGAATTTTGATAAGGAATGACAACATTTCATAATAATAACTATGTGAGATAACTATTAACCTGAAAAATCATATTCCCTAGTCTCTTGCTGCATTTTTTGTGCATTGTACAACAGCACAATGCAAAGGCATGCTTGAATTAATGAATAACGCAAGAAACGCGATTCGTATGCCAAAATATTGTGAAAAACTATTTCAACCTTTTGATTCCTCTGTAAAACAAATAAAAAAGCGTAAAAAAGTGAGGTTGTGTTTCGATAATTCACAGAAGAATGAGGTTGTGTTTCAATAATTCACAGAAGAATGAGGTTGTGTTTCAATAATTCACAGAAGAATGAGGTTGTGTTTCAATATTTTGCCTCCAGGGTCGGTCTTCGTGCACGCGTATACAAACTTTTTGGTCTGCTCAGCATATTTATATTAATTTATAGTATATATATAAGTACCATTATAAAATATGGATATTTACATATACTTCTGTATAATACCTTCAATCTTCGAAATGAGAAGGCAATTTTGTATGGATCAGTAGTCAATTGGAAGGGACCCACTGTGAACGACGAGTGAGGCAAAAATATTTTTCAGGCAACCCGCAGTGTTTACGGATACCTATCTCTCTCTATCTTGTGTTGGCTAATGGGAAGCGCTCGCATAATTTGAAATATTTTCTCGTTTTTTGCTTCTATTTAAGAGCAAACGTGATTAAATAAAAATATTCAGTTAGGAAAAAGGATAATGTTGTAAAATCAATTATATATCATTAAAAAATTATTACTGATTTTTTTATTGACTTTAAAATGAAATTTCAATATTACTCTTACAGGATCAGGAAGTCAAATGAATACAAAATTGAAATTATATATTTTTATTCAAATTTCACAATATATTGTACAGGGTGAGCAAAGCACAATGTCTCAGAACTATCAGAAGGAAAAGAAAAACGATAGGAAAAATTTGAAAAGAGGTTCTTGAATGGTATTGATGAGTGCATTTTGAGCATAATTTCCATAGGTTCCCATTCCTCCATTAGGTCACTCATTAATTGTCATTACTATACCCACTGTTGGAAATTGATTGAACTACTTATTCTTTCATGTTTGAAATTTTTAGGTCTCTCCTTTTTACTTTTTGTCTCAGTATGTTCACTTTTCTCCTCAATACAATATCCTTCTCTAATGAAACAGTTTGAGTTCCTTCATTGATCAACTTCGAAACTTGGGAGCTGGAATAAGTGGTAGGCAAGTCAAAGTCATAGATAAACTACAACAAATTACTAGCTAGTTTTTTTTATTTTAAATAGGTGCAAACATACTTCTTTTTCATTATTAATCAACTAGGTACCTATGAGTTTTCTTATTTTTCTAGGGGAATCAGCATTTTTTTATAACAAATGCTGAGGAAATGAAAATATACTGGGTACAGCATCTGCTTTCAAAAACCTAGCAGTACCTGGTATGCCTGAATAATCTGTTGGCAGGAAATGCTCCCCACAAAGCTTGCTGCTTTTAGTTGGAGTCCAATTCTCACTATAGTAACTGCCTTTATCCATAATTCGAGAATGTCTGGTCTTTTGAATGGAAAACTGCAATAAATAATATTACTCAATATCAATATGGAAGTATTTAACTTTGACAAATAAAATAGGTATAGTTTTTGAACATATTCTGAGACTGGACATTGTAAACCTAACTGATGATCATTTCATGAACTACTTATATTTTTCAAAAATCTGAGAACAATATTCAACTTACCCATGGAATGCTAATTTCTTTTTGTTTTGTTCATTCTTCTAGCATCCAAAGGCGACACAATGAATCACCATTGTTTATCAATACTAATCACAAACCTTCTCAACAATCAGTTCAGTGTTCACAACAACAAATTCAGTCCTTTTGTTACAACAAAACACGCCAAATGAATAGATATTTCACCTCGTATTCCACATGAACTAAGACAATGAACTTATGTCTTCACTTTCTTGCCTGTGTAGATGACAGAAAAAATGTTTTACTACTTTAATTATTAGATAAAAGAAAATTTATACACCAATCCACCATTAAACAACACGAGTTGGAAGAGGACAGGTATCCGTAAATCATGCTATCTTTGTTGCAGCTGCCCCTGACACACTTTGTGCTATTCGAGAGAACGTTCGTATCCCTTCCAGACCTATCTGAAATTTTGTTCCAGGGGCTATTTACCAGGTTGTGGTACCAGGTATGTGTGTTTTGAGGTATGGAGCATAATTATGGAGCTAGTGATTACTTATGCATTGATTATGAACCTATCCATCCTATAAATATCCTGCAAATCAGATAAAGTGAACAAGAAACTACAGAAAATATGAGAATAATCAACTGATGATCCAGAAGTAGTAGCAGTGGACCAATATTCGTACACATTAGATAACTTATTTTATCAATATAACTCTGTATTCTGAAAAATTGAAAAACTTCCGTAGATACCTATAGAAAATGCAAGAGAATAATAGATTGTTTTATTAGGATAAAAAGTGACACTTTGTTTGACAAGCGAATTTTGTATTTGCGAGGCGGAGCGTTCAGCGAAGCCGAGCGAAAGCAAAATTTGCGAGTCGAACAAAGTCACTTTTGATCCGAATGAACCATGCTATTTTTTCTGCAACCGATACAATTAACTCAAATAAACATGTGAAGACCACCAATGCCGTGCCATATATGTATGCAATGCAACAAATATTGACGAATAATCCGTGTGGTGAGAATATTCTACCTGCATTAACAGCAGGTTAGATTTTCGAGGATGTTCGAATTGTAGTTTCAATATAAATACAACCACAGAGTGACATATTTGTGTATGGACCAGGTGCTCTAATGGCAAATACCGCGCCAGTGCCAGGTATAGGAACAAGACGTGGAAAATGTTAGGTTAGTGAGCATATCAACAATGATAATAGTGATTATTTATTTCTATCCATACTACACTCTGTGTTTGACTTGATAATCGAATGAAGCTAAAAAATATCGTTGTTTGAGACAAAAAAACTATTGCTTGCCGTGATTATTCAAAAACAAGTTATCCATCCCGAGAATAACGAACGAAATACAGATCAAGCAAGTATTTGAATTTTGAAGGCTTCCCTGCTCAAAACAAAAATACTTAACTAATATGTTTATTATTCCAATACTAAACTATAAAGGTGTATTTATATCTCCAGCATGGGTATAAAATGCCAAATCTGCTGAAATCGGAAACAAATCAGGTATGCGTCTCAACCCAAATAACCAACCGTCACAATGTTGTTTATTCTTGATGACGCCCAGTACATCCTTTTTAGTTCCTAGGAGCTAAAAAGTTCAACTTTAGCTCCTAGGAACTAAAATTCAACTTTAGCTCCTAGGAACTAAATATATGTTGCCTAGCAACATACCTTTTTTTGTGTCAGTAATAGAAACGTCAATTCAAGAGCTAATTCTGGTATCAAAATGGACGACTTTTGTGTCGGTTGCAGAAAAAATAGTATTTCATTGTTTGATTATATTGTAGAGTCGAAAACAGAACAATTGAAGTGTTTGGGCATAAAAAAAATAACAAAATATGATTTGACCCACTACAATAAATATATTGAAATAATACGAATATTTTTATTTTATAGAAACGAGGAGAGAAAATCCCAAAGAATCAAGTAAAATGACTATTATAAGTGAACCCACAGTAAAGGATAGTTTGCAAGGAATCTCTCAAATAAACATAGCTCCTCTTCATTGGGTAACGTCCTCTTGCTCAAATATCTCAACTTGAAAACACGTGCGATATCTTTTGATGTCCATTTTACCCGTTCAGCAAGAATCTCATTCACAACTGGTCTGGTTCTGATCATTTTTCCAAACTTCCATACTTTATGGCGTTTTTCTTGTTGTAATTGGTATTATTGATGGGATTCCTACCTTGAGTTTTCTTCTCTTTGGTGTGTGATTTAGCAATTCTGCTTGTGTCGTTCAAAATCCTCGGCATCGAAATGGGCAGAACATATTGGTCAAGTTTTGGTATTAAATGAATTAAAATTACGTCCACAAAATTGAATCCATTTCTCATGAATAGACTCATCTTGTGGAAATTTATGGAAACACAAACCAAATTCACTAGTCTTATTACACTTGTACGAATTTCAACAAGAAGTGACTGAACAAATTATCATTTTTACATTTTCAAGTTCCAAATGATTCAAATATTCGAAAATACTGACAACTGTCACTTCAATACATGCGCCGGCGTACATATATCATACACGAAATGTACGAAAGTGCTACACTTTTCGTGCAAAAGAAAGGACCTATTACGTCATGAGTTACTCGCGGGGTGCGATCGAGGCAACAACAATGGCAACCTTCTTCTACAAAATAATCATCAGTTCTACCAACCTTGTATGTTGCTTTGACGAGTGTGACAAGTGGAAATATAATGGGAAATGACATTTTGTCATAATCCAAGAATGATCATCAGTTCTACGAACCTTGGTCATAATCGTGCAATGTCGCCATCTATCATGATTATGATCGTTGGAACCATTGTTCTCGAGAGGATGAGAAGAATTTCTGGAACGAAAGAGCATCAGCACCATATCAGCACCAGTGAGTACACCATCTACCCATGTTTCCATCACATTATTATGTCGGAAGCCAAAATGATGGACGTAGTGTGCGCGACTGTCGCGAGGCGTTTGTCTATTTAACCTCAACTTTTATTTTTAATTTTTCTTCATTGATTTTTAGCATCTTTTTAGATTGCGTTAAGCGGCTCCGGCTTGGATATCGTAAAGAGCACTGTGTTTAGCTTAATTTATTAGTCTTTGTATCATTATCATTGTATCATTTCTTCAGTGTGATCTACTGTGGTCTAGCCATTGGCCAAAACATTGATTTTATATCTTAGGATAAACTACCTACTTCTTGTAGTGAGAACCATTGGGTATTAGGGAGATTATTGGATATAAAAGAGGATACCAACCACTGTATAGACCCTTACCTGTGTACAAACTATCCGATTGGTAGGCCTTGTGAAGAGTTGGAAGTTGGAAGACAGGAGAAAAGTGAGCATTCTAACCTAATTAAGTAATTTGAGAATTCAAATGTACTGGTGATGAAGTACTCAGATGTAGTCAAATAACCATAGTCAAATGTGTATGATCTTAGAAACAATGTCGAAGTAGCTAAACATTCAGTGGAAAAGTTAGGATGATGAGCATGCTTTTGAAAAGTAAACATAGCCAAATGTATAGTGGCTTTATTAAAACTACTCACTCTAGCTGAAGATAATTCATCATATTGAGAAAACAAAAAGATTCATTTAACAAAAGTTTATTGCTATAGGCATTTTTTTATAGTAAAGCTAGTCAAGTGCCAACTTATACATACCAAAGAAGCTAGCAAAGCCACTTTCGAATTTTAACATCTCATAAATCTATAGGCTCATTTTAGGCTAATTCATTACCCCATTCCCAAATTTTTTGCTCCTTCCTATCATAGAAAAATCTGTGGCTTTGCTAGCTTTGGCTGAACTCAGCAAAGCCATTTTTAAAGAACAATATTTTTTGAATATCTGATATAGTAAGAATGTAGTGCTCATTTTAGGCTAATTTATTACCCTATTCCCGATTTTCTTGCTCCTCTCTATCATAAAAAAATTTGTGGCTTTGCTAGCTTCTGCCCAACTCAGCAGAGCCATTTTTGAAAACATAGATTTTTCATTTGATATATTGAGATCAAATGGCTAATTTTGGGCTAATTAATTACCCTATTTTCCAATTTTTTGCTCAAACAGGTAAAATACAAGACAATTTGTCCAAATAATAATAATAATAATTATTATTATTATAATGTTTATTCCTGTTAGCATACAGCAGCCATCCGAAAATAGATATACACATCAGTTATAAAAAAGTATGCAGCATAGGCCAAGACATTTAAAATTATGATTTACACATAAGATGATGAGAATTACAATTACAATTTGAGATTCACACCTAGGATAAAAGAAAAAACATTTACACATATTGTAAATAGAATAAAATTTACATATGAGGTAAAAAGAAAAGACAATTTGAGTAAAAGAACACCAATTGACAATTTGGGGTGTACAGGGTGGCCAACTAAGAATCCAGAGTTCGATTTCTCTGTTGTCTTGAGAGATACAAAAAAAAGTCATGTATCAAAATTGAAGTAATAACCGAGCTTCACATTTCAAAATTTCTTTGAAATACACAGGGTGTTCTGTAAGGTCACAGCACATCAAAGATATGTTTTTTCATGTAAACACCCTATATTTTATTTCATTTTCAAATTCTCCCTGAAGATCTGATTTCAACGACGTATCATACTTAGGGTCTAGCAGTGAAAGTTACTGATATATAGGGTGTGCAAAATCGAGATTTTCCAACTTTAGGATTTTTTTCTGTCGAAACTGTTCATTATTCGTCAAAACGGTTTACATGTCCCTATCTCAACTTTTCACTCACTATCAATTGGTGTTCAATTGACATTTAATTGGAACAAATTATAAATTTAGATTTTTTGACCACCTTGTATCAATTTCAATTGAACAGCAATTGATAGTGAGTGAAAAGTTGAGATAGGGACATGTAAACCGTTTTGAGGAATAATGAACAGTTTCGACAGAAAAACATCCTGAACTTGGAAAATCTCGATTTTGCACACACTATTAATTGTTAGTAACTTTCACTGCTAGACCCTAAGTATGATGGGTCCTTGAAATCAGATCTTCAGGGAGAATTCAAAAATGAAATAAAATATAGGGTGTTTATATGAAAAAAACATATCTTTGATGTGCTGCGACCTTACGGAACACCCTGTGTATTTCAAAGAAATTTTGAAATGTGAAGCTCGGTTATTACTTCAATTTTGATACATGACTTTTTTTTGTATCTCTCAAGACAACAGAGAAATCGAACTCTGGAGTCTTAGTTGGCCACCCTGTACACACTACCAATTTAATACACTATGCCATTATAGCAAGCTAGATTCATAGTACTCATTTATGTTATAATAAGCACCCTGAGTCAATATGCCCTTTATTTGATTTGAACATGGTAAAATTCATTTCTCTGATTTCTTGAGGTAAATGATTGTAGAGTTTTATTCCCAAATAGTCCAGGGATTTTTCAGTATGAGATAGCTGGGTCTAGTGATATCAAAATCATGAGCATTCCTGGTAGAATATCTTTGATAAGCAGAATTTTTCAAAAACCTTTGTGAGTTGTTTTCTACTTAAATGAGGGTTTCAAACTCGGTTTCAAATATGAGAATAGATGGTAGGGTTAAGATATTATTATTTTTGAAGGCATGCCTGCATACTCCTCATTCACTGTACATTATGTATTTCTATCAGAGGCATATTTTTTTATGATTTCATGAGGCAATGTTTTAGTATTGATTGTGAGCTAGATAACTATCCCATTTTGGAATTTTTTGCTACATATTTTTTTAAAAGAAACCTGTGGCTATGCTGGCTTCCGGCAAACTCAGCAGAGTCATTTTTGAAAATAATATATTTTTCACTGATTTGATATATCAATATTGAAGAGCTAACTTTAGGCTAATTAATTACCCTCTTTTCGAATTTTTCCCTAAATGTTTCAAGCAAAAAAAAACCAAAACAATGCATGAAAATACTCATTTATTCACTATACATTATGTATATCTATCAATAGCATATTTTATGACGATTTTCCAAGGCAAAGTGTTAGTATTGATTATGAGCTCAATAATTATTGCATTTTGGAATTTTTTGCTGCATATTTATCAGAACAAACCTGTGGCTTTGCTTGCTTCTGTCCATTTTTGAAAATTTTATATTTTTCACGGATTTGATCTATTGGTTTTGAAAGGATAATTTTAGGCTAATTAATTACCGTTAATTACCCTATTTTCGAATTTTTTGCTCAATGTTTCAAACAGAAAAAATACAAGACAATTTGTCAAAATACCCATCATTCACAGTACATTATGTATTTTTATCAAAGGCATATTTTTTGATGATTTCATGATAATCACATTTTGGAATTTTTTGCTACATATTTTTTAAAAGAAACCTGTGGCTTTGCTGGCTTCGGGAGAACTCAGCAGAGCCATTTTTGAAAATATCATATTTTTCACCGATTTGTTATATCGGTTTTGAAAGGCTAAATTTAGACTAATTAATTACCCTATTTTCGAATTTTTTGATCAATGTTTCAAACAGAAAAAATACAAGACAATTTGTCCAAATACCCATCATTCAGGGCATATTTTTTGACGATTTCATAAGGCAAAGTGTCAGTATTGATTGAAAGCTTGATAACTATCCCATTTTGGAATTTTTTGCTACATACATAAGACAATTTGTCAGAATACACATCATTCACTGTACATGTATTTCTATTAGAGGCATATTTTATGACGATAACGACGAATAACTATTGCATTTCTGAATTTTTTGCTGCATATTCTTTGAAAGAAACCTGTTCCAGCAAATCAGAGGTAAATGAAGAAAGTTAATTTTGAGCCCTAACTTCACAAAGCGCCGTTTTTTTCGAGAAAATGAGTTCTGATATATTTTTTTGTTGAATTATAAAGAGTTCTTGAGTTCTATTTTATCAATAGTTCTGGTGAACTAAGCAAATTATTGAATAATCTGAGAAAATAAAATACGAGAATGTGTTTCTATAGGTGGCATTTCCTAGTGATATACTCTTTCATATTGAAGAAAAACCAATGGAGCGAAAAGGAGGAAATTCATTAGAAAATATGAAATCTGAAAAAATCAGTTGTCATGAGGTGCCCATAAGGTGCCGACCTTACCAAACTATCAATCTGCATGAAAAATTAATTCCAAAGAACAGAACAATTCTGATGGGTGTTCTGAATAGCGCTCAACGAGTTCTTCAAAATAGTCTTATTGTGTTTCAGTAACAAATTCATACTTTTTCATTTATCATATGTCATAAGGTGCTGACCCCAAAAAACAAACATTTTCCATTAAAACTCAATTCCAACCAACTGAACAGTTCTGATGGGAGTTCTGAATAGCGCTCTAGGAGTTCTTCAAAATAGTCTAATTGTGTTTTAGTGTCAAATCGATACTTTTTCATACGTACGTTACGCCGGCACGACCACTTCAACAAAATCAAAAAAAAATTATACCAGAATTTAGTGCTTTTTAGTTGCTAATTTGTTCCACTTTACAAAAATTTGTTGCTTATGCAGATATAGCAAAAATTGAGTACATGCCAGCTTCACGAGAAGTTGGCACGGCAACTTTTTCATTTTAACTCTGAATTGAGAGACAAGTATACCAAATTGTAGTGCTAATTTGTTGCTAATTTGTTCCCTCATTCGAATTTCCGCATTCATCTCCATTAAAGAAAAAAGTGATTCCTTGTCAGCTTCATGAGATGTTGGCACGGCAACTTTTACATTTTAACACGGATTTGGGAAACAAATATACCAAATTGTAGTGCTAATTTGTTGCTAATTTGTTCCCACTCTCAAATTTTTTTTTTACTTTTTTTTTTCGGAAATGATCATTATAGAAGATGTCATGCTAGACTAATTTTTCGAAAACTCCGTTAAATGACAAAAACGCAAAAACGATCGTGCCAGAATTTGTTGCGTTTTTATATCATTCAACGGAGTTTTCGAAAAATTAGTCTAGTATGGCATCTTCTTTTACCATAATTTCAAAAAAAAAAAAAAAATAGCAACAACAATTCTAGAAAGGGAACAAATTAACGACAAGGAATCAACAAATTCTGGCATGATCGGTTTTGCGTTTTTATGTCATTTAACGGAGTTTTCGAAAAATTAGTCTAGCATGACATCTTCTATAATGATCATTTCGGAAAAAAAATGTTACAAAAATTATAAAAGAGGAACAAATCAACAACAAGAAAGCAACAAATTCTGGCATAATCGTTTTTGCGTTTGTATGTCATTTAACGGAGTTTTCGAAAAATTAGTCTAGCATGGCATCTTCTATCATCACCATAGTTTCAAAAAAAAAAAAAAAATATAAAGAGCAACAAAAATTCTAAAA